ATATATAAAATCATAGCCAAAATGACATCTAAGGACCATTGCCTGAGAAGAAGAGAGGATCTGAAGGGAAGGGGGAAAAAACTGATGAGAAGAATTCCTTGGTCTCAAGTGTCAGAGATGCAAAATCTGAGTCTAATTGACATTGGACATTAGTGTCTGAGGAAAGGACAGGCTCTGAGGAGAAAAACCTGAGAAATCCTCTTTGGGCAAAAGTGTCTCAGATGCAAAATGTGATGAGAAATGACTCTCCGGGATCCAGTGTCTGAGGAGACGACAGGTCTATGTGGAGAAATCCTGAGGAGGATCCTTTGTACACAAATGCCTCAGGTGCAGAATCTTAGGATGACACAGAGCTATTGTTTATCAGCAGAGACCTTTCTACTTTGTCTAAATTCAGGAAATTCTTTAAAAACTAGACACACATCTTTATACTCAGTGTTACCTTCAGTTCACTGTAATGATAAAAATAATAAGGACCATTTCAGACCATGGATGCATGCTCTTCAACACTGGAAAGGAATTACTGAGTGACAGGCAAGTAAGTAAACTTTACAACTATTTAAATAGCACTTACAGTCCAATCATCCAACCACATAAATCCATTGAGAATGTTTGCCAACAGAAAAGAAAAGAAAAAAAAAGGCGTAAGAGAACAATCCCCACGAAGACCAACATCTGGAGGACCCTGGTCACTGCTGCTGGTGTGATGTTTCCCGTTTGTAAAGATGAGACAACCCTGAACTTCAACAACTGAAGGGGGGTCTCCTCCTGACAACACCGCAGCCACTGCGGAGGCCCCTTCCCTGTCAACTATTCTGGAGCTCCAGGAATGCCCCGGCAGGAGCAGCAGTTATGCCTGTGGTATGTTATAGTTAGAGAAAAGGCTGTTTATGGCTGCAGTCTCTCACAAGCTGCAACCACGTTTGGGGTGAGAACTACTGTAAAACTATGAAGTAAAAGCACATGTGAAGTGAATGACAGCATTTGCACGTGATGCAATGACACCTTAAAGGTTTTAACCTGAGGCTTGGACCTTATGGAGGACACCCGACACCACGGAGCTGTTCGAGGCTGGACAGGGTCTCCCGCACTCCGCCCCTCGCCCATCCCTCTGCATCGCCTCTGTGGAGTCTTCTCCAGAGGAGTAAACAAAGGGGAATAGGAACAGCTGGGGCGACATCACCCTCAAAGTCTTCAGAACAGCAAGGGACAATCACCAGCACACAGACACACATCCCCGCCCCCACCACCGAGTGGGAGAAGTCACACACCACACCACAGGCAGGGACTGCATCAGAGACCGACCGAGGGCTCACACAGCTCCAACAATGGGCAGAAGAATGAAAAAGACACTTCAAGGAAGAAACGCAAATGGCCAACAGATACAGAGAGTTCAGCATCAGCCATGTCAGGAAATGTAGATCAAACCACAAGAGACACCGCAGCCTCACTCGGGGAGGAGGGCCACGGTAACAAAGGGAAACCACGGGGGACAGCAGCTGCAGGAGAAGCGGCGGCGGCGAAGGAGACGCCCCACGGCGGTGGGAGCGCGGACAGGCCCAGCCACCGTGGAGGGCTGTGCGGGGCTCCTCAGACACCGTAAAGGGACGGACACGGCACCCCGGCGACCCCAGTCCTAGGAATCTACCCAAAGACAAAACGCAGGAGACCTGCACTCCTGTGTCTGCTGCAGCAGTATTTACAATCGCTGAGACAACGTATACACCCCCAGACAGACCAAGGAGGCTAACAGTGGCGATATTCTTACGCAGTGGAATATTACGGAGCAATCAAAAGGACAATTGCTGGAAGGGACTATGCTGGCCACAGGAAGTCTGGGTGCTACAGTCACAGACAGCGGATCTCTCAGAGAAGCATGCTCAAGTGTGTCTTCCCCCTTGGGTGACAACTTTGTCTTCTTCATGATGAGATGGTTCTGTCAGGTAACCTTTACCAAGTTTGCCTTTCCCTATTCGTTCCCTTGTTGGACAGCTTTGTCCTGCATGCCAAGGAAAGGGCAGTTACACAGCAGCTGTTGAATAAACAAGCTGGAGCCCCCACCTACTTCTCTGTGCTGGGTCCTGCCCTCCCCTCACCCCTGCAGAGCCTGCCCTTCCCCCTTTTGTTTCCCTTTGTATGAATGACCCTGCACCCTGCCCAACAGCGGGACTGTGGTGTTTCAGGAGGGAGTCTGTGCCCTCCTCCTCGGTCGACCCATTCAACCATTGTTTTTCCTCAAACTGTTTCCTTTTATTGGCGGAGGGAGACTAAGGCCGGCGTTCCTGGGAGCAACAAGACCCCTGCGCCTGGCAAAGGCCAAGGGCGCCGCCTGGCAGAGGGAGGGCGCGGCGCCCCCTGGTGGCGAGGAAGCGGTGGTGCGGCGGACGGGGAGCGAGCGGGGAGCAGGGGGCCTGGGGAGGCGCAGATCCCGCGCAGCTTCCCAAGTCTTCCAGGCGCGGCCGTTCCTTAGCGACCCCGACAGCGACGACGCTGCCGCTGCGCAGCGTTGACAGCCCCGGAACCCTGCGACTCACCTCCCCGGGTGGCCGGGGGGGCCAACATGGAGGAGCCCCGCGACGATTTCTCCTACGCTGTTCCCCGGGATCCTTCTCTGTCCGCGGAGCCCGAGGCCGCCCCGCCGTGCCCCGCCCTGAGGACCCCGGCCCGCGTTTCCCACCTCGCCGCCCCCAAAGGGCGCAACCTTGTTGAAACGCAGGGGCAAGGAAAGGGCCAAGGGAGAAGGGGCCGGCGGAGGGCGGGAGCGCTGCGCCGCGCCCCCTGGCGGCTGGGGGAGGGGTGTCGGGACCCCGGGCTGAGGAGAGGGGGCGGCCAGCCAGGCGGGGAGCCCGGCGCTGCACCGCACCGGTCCTGGGCGCGAGGCAGGTTCCCACAGGCCGCCGCGGTCCAGGCGCACAGACGCTGCAGTGGGCGCTGCTCTGACAGCCCAGGGGTCCTGCCCGGCCGCGAGCACCCCGCTGGGGTGCCAAGGTATCGGTCACGCGTGGGGGGTCAGCAGGGGGTGCTGCGTGGCCGCCCGCTCCCGTGTAGGTGGCGTGCCTGCGGTGTGACCGGCCACGTGTGGGGCGCGGCTGCGGCGCCCCCCCCCCCACCGTCACGCGCGCCCGTCCTGTGTCCTGGGCAGGGGCGCCCCTCCCTGCCCTTGCCGGGGCTCCTGCCCGCTGCCCCGGGGTCCCGCCACCGGGTGGGGGGATGTTCTCTCCAGCCGTCTGCGCTGTGGCCTCCGCGATGCAGTAAGCACGGTCGCGGGCTGGGGGGCCCAGGCCGAGGAAGGGGAAGCTGTGGGGGAACCCGGGGCGTCCGGGGTGGGGGCGCCACCCTGCGGGGAAGCACAGCCGGCAGGAGGAGCCCCGCACAGTAAGGCCTGGCGGTCACTCACAAGGGACAGGGCTGTGCTGAGTCTGGGGAGTCTTTGGAGGACAGGGCCCACCGGGGCGTGTCCGAGGCCCGCTCGCAGAGGGAGGGTGCAGCGAGGTGGGCAACGATCTGCTGAGGAGGGCTCTGGCGTCCACTAGTCCACTACGTAAGGAATAAGCTCGGGGCCCTCCCTGGAGGCGCAAGGGCTTCAAGCAAGGCACCACGCAATCTTTCCTTGCAAAAACACCCACCAGCACTGTGCTAGGGTCACCGACACTGGATGCGATCTAGCTGAAAAGACCCGGAAACAGTCCCATGCAGTCCTGGAGGGCAGAATGTGGAGGGCTGAGGTGGCTTCTCCCTAGCGGCTGCCAGACCCCAGGTCTTGCCTCCCCATCCTCTGCTGTGCCCAGTCGCCCACTCTCACCACCGCGAGTGCAGAACTTGTCGCGAAGAGCAAGGAAAAGTTACTGCAGAGGCTGGTGGCAGATTGCAAATGGGGTTTGAGGATCTCGGTTTGAACCCCCAGGGTGCCAGGTTGTGGGAATTGGGACACTTGGTATTTTTTTAATGACAGCTGTCATTTGCAGTTTTTTGGGAGGCAGGGATTGGGTGATAATAAGGAGAGGCACCCTATTGTTTCTCTGAAAGCCTCTGGGGGGGAAATGGTAACCGACTGGTCCAGCTGCCACTACCAACTGTGGCCTAGGAAGAAGCTCCTGTTCCTGTTTCCCTGCGGGAGCCCAGGAAGACCCAACAGTGGGGAAATGACTGACTGTGAGGGCTGCACTGGTGGGGGGAGGCGGCCGTCCTGCTTTCTGGGCCCAGAAGCTGAGCCGAAAGGGCACCTCCAGCTGTCCTCTTGGAGACGGTGCCCTTCCGGAGGGCGCCCAGCAAGGCCCACAGTGCAGCACCTGGCAAGGACCAGGCAGTGCCAGCTGGAGGACTGTCCAGTGGCCCTGGCGCTCTGAGGAGCCCCTGGGGTGTTGCACCAAATCCAGCAAGGCCGCAGGCTGGCGGGGGCCCCGCTGTCCGCGCCTGCTCTTTGCCAAAGATGGTGGCTGCCACCCCATAGCCAGTGTCCACCGCCACAGCCCGGCCACTGCAGCACCTGGGGGCCGGTGGGGCCGTGGCTGCAGATCCTGGCCGGCAGGACCACACCAGCACAGCTGCTGGCCTCAGCGCGCCACCCTGGGCTCCTGCCCCAGGCCCCTTTCCACCTCTATCCACCCCCAAGGTCTCGAACTTCTAGTCCCCCATGGGCCCAGCCCACCAGGGGCGTGGGCGGTACTTATGCCAGTGTGTTTGTGGGACGTGTCCCCCCAAGACCCTCGGGCCACAGCGCCCTAGAGACGCGGACCTCGGTGGCAGCAACCACTGCCCTGTGCTGGCCCAAGCGCTTAACTGAGCAGCGGCCCAGAGGGGCTGCGGTGTGGCGTCAGCCTCGACGGGCCACGGGGCCTGGTCTCAGGAGGCACCGTATGCCCCGCTGACACCCATCACCAACCCCTGTGCCCCCCAGGGGCGGAGCGAGCAGCTGCTGCCTGCGCCCATGGGGATCCCTGGCCTAGGCCCACCCAGCCTGGAGAGTGCAGGGGGCCCCAAAAGACACACACACTTCTCTCCAAATGCAAAAAAATATTCTCCAGATGCAACTAGCTCAGAGGTGGAAACGAGACCGCCGGGAGGCAGCCCCCCTGCAGACTCCGGGCTGCCCGGCCGTGCTGCCCGATGTGCCCCGAAGAGGCCCCGGTCCGCCCCAGCCTGCACCCCACGTGGAAGCAGCTGAGCGGAGTCGGAGTCAGAGCCTGAGCTGGGGCCCACAGCAGAGGCCGCTTCCTTCCAGCCCAGGCTGGGGCGCGCCAGGTGGGAGGTGGCAAGGGGCACTGAGGTCTCTGGCTGGCCGGCAGCTTCGCTGGACCCGGCCAGGCCCGGCCCGTGGCCTCAGTCCTCTCGCAGGTAGGCCTCGGGCAGGTAGGGCTCGGGCTCGGGCTCTGGCCGCTGCCCCGCGGATCCCACAGGCCCCTGCGTCTTCCGGCGGAGCTCCTCCGTCTGTGCCTCTGCCAGCCGGGCCTCCGCCTTCTGGGAGAGCTGGCGCACCTCCTGCACCTGCGACTTCACCAGCTGGATGTGGCTCCGGGCCGTAACCGAGGCCTGGTCAGCTCCTGTGGGGGAGGGAGGGATGAGGAAGCCCGGTGGCTTGGGCCACCTGCGGGCTGCTGCCCCCTCCCTGGTGGCTAAGCCCTGTGCCCTGCCTCCCCCCAACCCCCCAGTTCCCAAAGGCACTGTCTGTCTGACAAACTATGGGGACAGTCGGTGTCCTGTCTCCCTGCCCTGGGGGTGGAGGCCCTCACTCAGAACAGACGGGTGCAACCGGTAATCCACACGCTCCACACAGCGCTGTGCTTCCCGCACAGTCATTTCAGAGCCAAGCTGATTGCGCCCACGGGCCACCGGTGGCCCCCATGCCAGGGGCTGGCTGCTGCCCATCGTGACCACACAGACCAGGGTGTCTCCTCTCCCTGCATGGGACACGGCTCTGCGCAGAGGGGGTCGGCAGACGCCACCCCTCGTCCCTGGCCCTGGCAGGGTTCTGCCCACACCCCCAGCCGGCAGGGCCACTTAACCACTACTGAAGTATTTTTCTACTCACGACTGTGCTGACGCCTCAATCTTTCGTCATTCATCAAGGCGTATGTCGATCTCAGGTAGTGACTGATGTCGAGCTTTTCCCTAATGCTGGATTATTGTGTTAAAAATATCTATTTTTTTTTTTCTAAAAAATTGGTTTTGAGGCTAAGTGACCATCTGCTTTGCAGCAAGACTGACCACTGACACCGGCTGTTTGGTGCGGCTTTACGTGGTCGCCGTGATCATTTCCCACGTCCTGGTAACCCTGTGACACAGGAATTGTGTCTAGAGCTGATTACAATTTCCTACAAAACATCCTCACCTAGGGCCCAGGGCCCACTTTGGGGTCACACTCGGGATTGTACCTATTTTTATAACTACTCGTCTCCTTTGGAGTCTTCCTGGATTTATATGCCACCTCATCTAACTGAAAACCTTCTAGGACCCTCCCTGGGGGCGCACCAGGTGAGGACGCAGCCCTGCAAGCTGGCCCCAGCTGCTTCTGCGTGAGTTCGATCCCTGCCCACCCCGGAGGTGACCACAGGGCGTGGCAGGCCTCTCCTGACCCACCCGCTGAGCCCCTCAGCAGTGTACCTCATCCTCTGCCTGTCCTACACCCCACTCCTTCCCTGGAGAGTCCTCTCAGCGCCCCTGCGCCTCTGGTCTGTACCCAAGTTCTGTATACATAAATCTTTAAAAAAAAAACTCAGGTGGTGGCCTTTTCTGATGTTGCTCAGTCTTTTTGCCTCTTTGATAAACTTACTTTCAAAATCTGGTATTTTTTCATTTGGGATCTAATTTGCTCATTCTTTTCAACTTGCTGGGTTGTCTTCTTCCCAGTGTTTCCGGGTGAGTGAACATTCCTGCCACTCACAGCACTATTCGTGAGTCTCTTTAAATGTGTCACTTTCTCTCAGAGCAGCTCTGCTTACAAAGCTCTGGGTCTGCTTATCATCCTTTTAAATATCTTTAAATTTCCATTGTGATTTCTCCTTTACCCATCTTAAAACGTTGTAATTGTAAGGAATATTTGCTGCGGGGAGGGCTATGACCGTATCCAGTCTCTGTCACCTGGTACAAAATTAACTTCGGTGTATGTTCTGCTAGAGGCTGAAGACTTGTTTAAAAAAATACAGATGTGTGATGTGGTCGGGGCTGGGATTACACTCAGTGAAGTAAGCCAGAAAGAAAAATACTGAAAGGCTCACTCAGGATGCAGAGGAAACAGAAAAGGGATCAGGAAAAAAAGTAATAAAGTAAAATCCCTGCCAGGCAACTACAGATCAGAGACGTTCTGGGGGGAGGGGGGTGTGGTGGGACACAGTGACTGGGTACCGGGGATTTCATGGGGAAGCCACACACTGCACAAAAATGAAGGGCGATGTAGCGCGTGTGTGAGAACATTGAGAAAACAGCGCTGGCCACAGTGAAGAGAAAAAAAAACATGTCTGCACAGCAGAGATGGGGTGTAGGCCAGCGGTGCAGGTAGCCGAGGATTCACCAGAGACAGTGGGGCGCAGCCGGGAGGCAGGAGCGGCCAGCTGCGTCCCGCAGTCATTCCCTGGCTGGGACAGCTTCGTGCTGCTGTGCGCTTTAACGGCCACGGCACCAGCAAGGGCCCCGAAGACTCTGAGGGGGCCAAAGCTCTCCACTAGTGCAGGCAGCTCTGGTTGACCATCCTAAGTCGCCCTGTTCCGCCTCTTGCTAAGCTTGATCTTCTGGGTCTTGACCTCAGAGCTGTGTCCGATGTGCCCGATGACGCGTTTCCTGACACAGGTCTCTGAAGCGCACCTGTCTGCCCCTCTGGGTGCGTCCTCACCAGTCCCTTTCTACGTTGTCATCCAGAACAGCTTCCTTTTCCACGCCACTGCACGGTGCCTTTGGCCTCAGGGGCTGCCTCACGTGCATTTTCCTTTCAGACGCCCCGTAAGCGCCTCAGCGGTCCCAGCACGAAACCCTTGCAGGCGGCTGCCTGAGCACGCGTCACCCGTGGATGCCGGGGTGTTCCCAAGCAGCTTCGTGCCGAGGCGAGCAGTTTCACAGGGACAGGGATAGCCCGTCCCGCGGGGTGGTCCACTGTGGAGTCGAGCCCTAGACACTCCCGACGGCCTTCGACAACAGCTCCAGTAGAGGAAAAGGAGCCCTTGGTCCTGCAGCTGACTGCTCTGCCAGTTTCTGGGGGGCTGGGGGGTCGCTCGTCGTCGTTCACAGCTTGATCTTTAAGTAACTGTCATCTTGTTACTGTGTCTCTGTGAGGAGATGTCGCTGGATTTCTTTGACACAACATGACCGTGCCCCCCCACCCCCACCCCCAGTGTGCTCGCAGGTTCACTGCTGCTTGAGCTGACCCCCAGGTCACGCTGCAATGTCTCATCGCTGGGCTTTGTGACCTGCTGTCCTGCTGCCACACAGCAGGAGCTCTCGCCCCGCCCTCCCACCTTTTTGTGGAGCTTAGCAGCTTCTGCTTCTAAACTAAACGGCTACGATTCGCCATTGCTTCAAAATTGCTGACAAGCTCCCTGGACCTCCACGTGACCTGAGCTGCATCTCTGTGAGCCAGTTTCCTTGGGGTGAGCGACTCAGGCAAAGCTGCACGGTAACAACTGAATTCTGAGCGGTGAACCTGACGTCGCACATGCGCATCGCGTTTTCCTGACCGCACCCGGGGGGACGGTGAGGTGCCATCCCCTGGGGACCAGGCTTCTCCTCCCAGGCTCCTTGTCCAGAAAGCCCACGTGGCTGGTGAGGCTGCTCTGCCCGCGCATGCAGCCCCACTTCCACGCTCGAACCGCGCGCTCAGCGCCGCATGGCCCTCTCCTTGGGCGCTCAGCCTGCAGGCGAGTGCGGAGCCTGTCCACAGCCAGCTGGGCCCACAGCAGCGCCAGGCGCTGTTTCCCCCCACCCCCCCACCCCCTCGCGTCCCCCTCTTGCCGAAGTTTCCGGACTCCCAGCTTTGCCCAGAGGCCTCTGAGCCCGGCCCCAGGGCCTGGCCTGACGAGCACTTCAGCACGCTGCTTTTCTTAGCCACAGCGGCTTGCGCAAACACCTGACCAGCCCAACGCCTTCATCTCCGGGGGGGTGTGGGGGTGGAGACATGGCAGCCCCTCTCGGCCTTGACAGACGAGGTCCCACAAGTGGCCTCCAGGCCCCGCCTCCCACCCCCACCTGCCAGAGGTCTCGGGTCTCCCCCTGCGTGTCGTCATGACTGGTCGTCCGTTGCCTAGTCACGGGAACGGCAGACGGCTACTGAGAAGCAGCGAGACCCGCAAAGCGGTGGCCTGGCCCCTCCGCTCTCTGGACAGTGGCCGTCTCCTGCCCTGCCTGGCTTGCAGGCTCACTCTGCCGCTGTGGCGACGTGCTGGGAGTGGAGACGCGGCCTTGGCCACCCAGCCACTCGCCCCACAGCGCCGAGCCGCCCGTGCTTACCACTCTGGTACGCAGCCTCCGCCGCCATCTCTGAGAGGCTGACTGCCGTCATCCAGGTGGTTTCCAGCTTCAGGTACTCCTGCTGCTTTGAGGTCATCTGTCAAGCGGTGCAAGGAGCATAAGGGGGGCGGCCGCGAAGGGCGCCCTGCGGCTGCGCGCCGGCCACCTGGGGGCAGGTCCGCGTACCTCGACTCTGGCCCCGATGATCACCTGCCACACCTGGTCCTCCTCCTGCGAGCTCATCTTCCCCAGCAGGCTCGCGTATTGCCGGTACAGAGAAACCAGCGTGTAAACTGCCTGCAGACAAAGTCCAGTGGTGACTCACCAGATGAGGGCCTGGGGAGCGCAGGGCCCGCCTGCCGTGCTTAAGCCAGCTGACCGCAGGCGTGCATCTCCCTCGCCCTCTTAAGAGCGCCTCAGCAGCACAGCGAAGAGCCAGGCACACAGGATCACAACCGGGGCTGGGGAGGGCCAGACACGCAGGCGGGACCCACACGTCCCTGTGACCCAGAGGCCCGGGCGGTGCGCAAGGCGTCCTCGCAGGGCAGCCGGAGCTGCGAGCCCTGAGCCCCGGTTGCAGCTGGCCCGCATCCCCCCAGCCCTCAGCCAGGAGGTGCAGACCGGAGCTGCCTGACGGAGCAGTGCGGGGCACGCACCTTGGTGTACTCGGTAACCGCCTCGATGAGCGCGTACGTGGTTTGGGAGAGAAAGGTGGACGTGCTGTCGGTCACCAGAGACACGGCCCTCCGCAGCAGCGCGTCGTTGCTGAGCACCGGAGGCTCCGACTTCTGGAAGACAAAACCCTCAGCCTCCGCGCCCGCCCTGCCAAGGCCAGCGCAGGACTACAGCGGGGCGCTCCGGGTCTCTGCCCGGTGGCCAGCAGCTGTCCGCAGTCCTCGTCCTCGTGGGCACACGCCTGGGCTGGGGGACCTGCGCTGCCCCAGGGGACTTGGGCACGCGGCTGCGCGTGAGAGCCACTGCAGCCGGGTCCAACCCCCGGCAGGGCTGCTCCGACTCCCCGCTGCCCCTCAGCACCCCAGTCCTGTGTCCTCTCCCCTCCCCACGCCACAGGCGAAGAGAGGAGGAAAGAGCCAGGTCCTGGACGCGCAGGGGCACTGCGGGACCAGCCCAGCAGGGCCTGGGGACCCCGCTTGTGCTTCCTTGGGCCGCGCTGTCCCGCGGCTGTGGGCGCCTTTCCCAGCACTGGTCCCTGCCGCCAGGCTGCCGGTCAGCTGCGCCTCGCGCGCAGCGGCCAGCCACCGCCTGGGCAAACCCTGCACGTTTCCCCCGCGGCTCCCCAAGCCGGCGGGAAGCGCCCGGCAGGATCAGCGCCCCGGCCTGCAGGGCTCCCGGCGGGCCTTACCTGCGCGACGGGGACAGCACACAAGCTGGCTCCGAGTCCCACAGCCAGCGCGTGCCACGGCCTCCGCGCTCCTGACGCGCAGCG